TGAAATGTTTATGGCCACAAGCAGCTGTTAGAAAACATATAGATTGAGGATTTTCTAGAAGCAATTATGAATTCACATTTTGTGTACCCATCCAAACAAAACGATAGCTGAAATGTGATACTAATGTCTCATTTCAGTTTTAGTTTGGCTCTAGTTTTGTATTTATTCCAGTTTATATGAAAAGGGTCATGTAGCGTGGATTTGTAAATTCTGTGGGTCTGGCTTCCGGTCTCATCCGTGTCCAGCTATTTTTAGCTGTACAGAACCACTCGTTTTGCTGCTTGATATTGAAAATTGGTGTGTCTTACCATATTATTTGAATGTGTTGTCTTAATTACGAACACACTGGTTTATAATGCAAACAGTTTTATCATTTACTGCATGTTGTTATTCTCCTCGTTATTTACCTATAGCAGCTAATGAACCGGAAGTCTCACCCATAGGCTTACTTCCGTGTTGAAGAAAAAGGTGGATAGTAAGTAGTTAATTATTACTTAAATGTATAATTACACTGTAACCAATTTTGGAATCTGATTACGTAATCCAGATTACATGTAATCAGTTACTACCCAGCACTCTGTATACAACACTCGGTTTCATGCAGTATGTGAGAGGGAGTCCTTTCGCAGAATTATAGACCTATAGCTTTGACATCCAACCTATGCAAGCTTATGGAATGGTTGGTCATGAATAGATTAATATTTGTAATTGAGAGTAGGAATATTTTTTCAGCATATCAAAGTGGGTTTCGAAAGGGGCGTAGTACTATGGATTCTATAGTTTATCTGGATAATGAAATAAGAAAGGCTCAAATTAAGAAGGAGGTGTTAGTGGGAGTCTTTTTTGATGTAGAAAAGGCATACTCACTATATGCAGACGACGGAGCACTATGGAAAAGGGGACGGAATTTTTCATTTGTGGAAAGCAAAATGTGGTGAATGAGGTAGAGAAATGGGCTAAGATATGGGGATTTTGTTTTTCTGTGGTGAAAACTCAAGTAATTTGTTTTTCGAATAAGAAAAATAATCCGAAATTAAACATTAAGATGTATGGTCATCAGTTGGAGCAAGTGAAGGTCGTCAGATTCTTGGGTATGTGGATGGATTCAAAATTAAATTTTGGAATACATATACAGAAATTAATTGAAAAATGTAAAAGAGGAATTAATGTATTAAGGTGTTTATCAGGTGCTGATTGGGGAGCAAGTTCTCAATCATTAAAAAGAATATATAGTGCAGTAATAAGATCTAGTATAGATTATGGTAGTATAGTATACTGTTCGGCGAACAAAACTCTGCTCAAAAAAGTTGAAGTAGTACAGTCACAGGCTCTGCGTATATGTAGTGGAGCTTTTATAACATCTCCAGTGAATACAGGTAGAGATGGGAGAAATGTCCCTAGAACTCCGTAGGTTACAGTTGAGGATGATATATTAACATTATATCAGTTAATGAAATTACGGTATTTAACTGTAAATTTAAGTTAAAATCGTAAAACTGTAAAACCTAAAACGTTGCTACCGTATTTTGTACTGTAAAATTCCGGCAACCACAGCTGCCGTTTTTTTACCGTAAATTTTACGTAATTTTTTTTACAGTGTAGCTATTCCAGTGGTTCCACCGTGGTTGTTTCCAATGCCTTTGATTGACTTTCAAATACAAAAAGAAATAAATGAAAAGGAGAAGATCATTCCTATAAATACAGTAGTTCAACAGTATATAAATCAAGCATATTATTCACAGTTACAGATATATACGGATGGGTCAAAGGATCCTGAATCTGGAAGGACAGCAACAGCAGTATATATTCCTGCATTTAAAATAAAAGTAGCCAAAAGATTATCAGATAATTTGTCTGTTTTTACTACAGAATTAATAGCAATTATATTAGCACTACAATGGATTGAAGAAATACAACCAAATAATATTGTCATATGTACAGATTCAATATCTGTTCTAACAAGTCTAATGAGTGGAAAATCTGCAGCACGGCAAGATTTAATATAAGAAGTATTACAGTACTTGTTTAGAATTAGACAATCAGGGATAATGGTATACTTCCTATGGGTACCGGCTCATACTGGGGTGGAGGGAAATGAGGAAGTGGACTGCTTGGCTAAGATGGCTCTGAAGCACTCACATAGTGAAATTAATATAGCAATTAGCAAATCTGAAATCAAGAGAATTATATCAGTTGAAGTAAGAAAGATATGGCAAAAGTTATGGGATAGTGGAATAAAAGGAAGGCATCTTTACCAGATACAGGGGTGTGTAGGTGAAGAGAGAATAAGATGTGGGAGTAGGAAGAAAGATGTTATTATAACAAGAATGAGGATTGGACATTCAGCTTTAAATTTCAATTTACACAAAATAGGGAAGCATGAAAATGGAAGATGTGATAAATGTGGGAATCCAGAAACAGTAAAGCACATTCTTCTAGAATGCGATGCGTATGAAAGAGAAAGAAATCAACTTAATCATAAATTAGGTTTGATGGGATATGATAAAGTATCACTAAAGATATTACTAGGGAATAGACGAATGCAATCAAGAATTAAAGAAGAAGTGTTAAATTATCTAAAAAAGACAGAATTTTAAGGCAGCCACAAAACTTACGTTTTTAAGTTGAAAGGGGTGAAAATTTTTTACTTCCTATGGGTACCGGCTCATACTGGGGTGGAGGGAAATGAGGAAGTGGACTGCTAGGCTAAGATGGCTCTGAAGCACTCACATAGTGAAATTAATATAGCAATTACCAAATCTGAAATCAAGAGAATAATGTCAATTAAAGTAAGAAAGATATGGCAAAAGATATGGGATAGTGGAATAAAAGGAAGGCATCTTTACCAGATACAGGGCTGTGTAGGTGAAGAGAGAATAAGATGTGGGAGTAGGAAGAAAGATGTTATTATAACAAGAATGAGGATTGGACATTCAGCTTTAAATGACAATTTACACAAAATAGGGAAGCATGAAAATGGAAGATGTGATAAATGTGGGAATCCAGAAACAGTAAAGCACATTCTTCTAGAATGCGATGCGTATGAAAGAGAAATAAATCAACTTAATCATAAATTAGGTTTGATGGGATATGATAAAGTATCACTCAAGATATTACTAGGGAATAGACAAATGCAATCAAGAATTAAAGAAGAAGTGTTCAATTATCTAAAAAAGACAGGAAATATGGAAAGAATATAAATTGTAATAGTGTAGGTTTATTTATTAAATTTTTTTTTTATAATTTTTTTTTTTTTTTTTTAAATATAATATCCTTCTCTCTACCAAATCTGTTCACTCCACACTCCAGATCAGTAGGTGGCGGTAATGCACCTTTAAGTTGGTTTGCCAAAACAACTTGATGATAAATGATATTTTTTACAGTATAGAGAGTGGAGTAGGTAGATCACTATATGCAGACGACGGAGCACTATGGAAAAGGGGACGGAATATTTAATTTGTGGAAAGCAAAATGCAAAATGCGGTGAATGAGGTAGAGAGATGGGCTAAGATATGGGGATTTCGTTTTTCTGTGGCGAAAACTCAAGTAATTTGTTTTTCGAATAAGAAAAATAATCCGAAATTAAACATTAAGATGTATGGTCATCAGTTGGAGCAAGTGAAGGTCGTCAGATTCTTGGGTATGTGGATGGATTCAAAATTAAATTTTGGAATACATATACAGAAATTAATTGAAAAATGTAAAAGAGGAATTAATGTATTAAGGTGTTTATCAGGTGCTGATTGGGGAGCAAGTTCTCAATCATTAAAAAGAATATATAGTGCAGTAATAAGATCTAGTATAGATTATGGTAGTATAGTATACTGTTCGGCGAACAAAACTCTGCTCAAAAAAGTTGAAGTAGTACAGTCACAGGCTCTGCGTATATGTAGTGGAGCTTTTAGAACATCTCCAGTGAATGCTTTACAGGTAGAGATGGGAGAAATGCCCCTAGAACTCCGTAGGTTACAGTTGAGGATGAGATATTGGGCTGGTGTAAAGGGTCACTCAGAATATCATCCAGTTAAAAATCTTTTGAAAGATTGTTGGGAGTATGACTATAAAGATTTAGAGAGCTTCGGTTGGACAGTAAAGAAGGAGGCGGATAGATTAGGGTTGAATAAATATGAAAATAATCCTTCTGTAGCTATTCCAGTGGTTCCACCGTGGTTGTTTCCAATGCCTTTGATTGACTTTCAAATACAAAAAGAAATAAATGAAAAGGAGAAGATCATTCCTATAAATATAGTAGTTCAACAGTATATAAATCAAGCATATTATTCACAGTTACAGATATATACGGATGGGTCAAAGGATCCTGAATCTGGAAGGACAGCAGCAGCAGTATATATTCCTGCATTTAAAATAAAAATAGCCAAAAGAATATCAGATCATTTGTCTGTTTTTACTACAGAATTAATAGCAATTATATTAGCACTACAATGGATTGAAGAAATACAACCAAATAATATTGTCATATGTACAGATTCAATATCTGGTCTAATGAGTCTAATGAGTGGAAAATCTGCAGCACGGCAAGATTTAATATAAGAAGTATTACAGTACTTTAGACAATTA